GTTTAAGAAGTGAAAATGTATATTCTTTGGGATATGCAAATTCCTTTGTCAAGGCGCTCTTCCCCCTCCAACCCAGATTAAATATACGCTGCCAAGCCTGGTGGTGTTCATTCAGACGGTGTCTCCCCGACAGACCTGTTCTTCACCTGAGGACGGCTGCTTGCGTTGTGGCCGAAACGTCGTGAGAATTATTTTATTATGTTTTATTTTTATTATTTCCATTCTACGTGACTTTACCGAAAGAACCAAGAAGATGAAACAGCTTAACAGCCCATTGGATTTCCTGCAGTATAAATACTTCTGATTCTACTGGGCACGTGTTAACAAACAGCTTCACAGCCCATCGGATTTCCTGCGTCATTCAGACGCTGTCTTTCTGACAGACCTGTTCTTCACCTGAGGACGGCTGCTTGCGTTGTGGCTGAAACGTCGTGAGAATTGTATTTTATTATGTTTTATTTTTATTATTTTATTATGTTTTATTTTTATTATTTTATTATGTTTTATTTTTATTATTTTATTATGTTGTATTTTTATTATTTTATTATTTCCATTCTACGTGACTTTACCGAAAGAACCAAGAAGATCTTTCGGTAAAGTCACGTACATAGATTGAAAGAAAATAACTAAAAACTAAAAACAATCAAAGGGTTGCCGGGTGAAAATTTTTATGTTAATGACAGATTAGTATGTTACTGGAATATCGCAGAGCCACAACCGAGAGGTCATCACGCAAAGTGGCTGTGTTAGTGTGAAAGCGCAAGTTTGAAATGGGCAAAAAGCACAACTATCATCAGAAGGTGGTAGGATGGGAAGATCATAGCCAGTTGTGACTTAAACTGGTTGATAACGTCCTTCCAATGATTACTCAGTTTGTACCCATCTTCTCGGTTTAAATTGTGTCTGTGTCGATAAAAATGGATGGCTTCATGAATGAATCTTTGTTGATAGCCAGTGGGCTTGCAAAGTACCTTCGTCTTAGAGAAATACATTTCATGTGAGCCCACTGCATTAAAACAATGATCAGCCACGGCTGAGGTATTGGTCCTACCGTGTTTCAGATCCTACCTAGTTTCGGATCTGCCTAATGTTCACGAACATAAGGCAGATCTGAAACTGTCGGGTTGGCTGCCCACCACTTGCATTAATATTGGCTGCTGACATTTGGGCTATGCCCATTTCAAACCCTAATAAACAGTTTGCCTTTGGAAGCTAACCCCCATTTTCCTGAAGTCGACCGATTTTGTTGCGATTGAAACGTTGTAGTTTTAGTTTTTATTTTCTTTGAACCTATCTACGTGACTTTACCGAAAGACCCAAAGAATATGAATTCCTGCAGTCATGAAAGCTTTAAGTCAAGATTTAAGTGAGAATGTAATTTTCTAATATATTTTCTGTAATGATTACGTTTTTTTAAATCTGTCATTGTGGAATGTTCTGATGTCTGCTGGCTCAGTCACCCTTCAAAATAGAGCTTCTTAGCTCAATGGGATTTACTCGCGATAAAAATATTTTGATTCTGAAGTGCATTGGTGTGTGTGATAGCCCTGGTTGGTACTTCAGGTGCAATGACAAGAAGCCACAAACCACGCTACCGATGGGCCCTGTGACCGCCCCCACAGCTGGTGTTTTGTTACGAGCCTCACCAGAATGTAATTTCGTTCGTAGTCGTCGTATCCATCATTGTTGAATCCCTGAGATTTGTTGAAAAGTGCAAAGTACCACACTTCCTGCATGGCTGCGAGTTCTAGCTTCTCACGGTTGGTCAAGTGAGGGCCAAAGAGAGCCATGATTTCTGCAGACATGAGAATAACGACAACAGCTGTGTGATCCCAAAGTTGAGCAATTTGTAGGAAAATATTACAGGATTGGGATGTTTTGGCCAATACCAGTTATGTCTGTATGTATGTTGAACTTCTTTTGCACCGTACGTAGCCAATGGTGCCAAATGGATACGCAGGGGAAGGACAATAAACTAAACATGAACAGTTCTAAAGAAAGTAGTTTTCAATCTAGATGATTTAAAAGTGTATAACTCCAATGGCTTCCTAATATCGGAAGTGCATCTGAAAGCGTGTGATGTGCTGAGGCCAGAGCACAGATAATCATCCCCATGCAACATGGCCACCATGATGCAGTCCCCCATGCAACATGGCTACCATTAAGTCCCGCATGCAACACTGCCAACATGAAGTCCCTCATGCAACGTGGCCACCTGGATATCACCCATGCATCATGGCCGCTATGAAATCTCCAATGCATCATGGCCACTGTGACATCCACCATGCAACATGACCATTGTGATGTTCCACCATTCACCATGGCCCTCTGTGACATCCCTCATTACTGTCTTTACCTTGCGGTGATTTGCTGCAGATGGAGGCGGTGCCCTCTGAGGACAGCGCACTCCACGTGGTGCAAGATTCGCCCTTACTCCTCGCCTCTCCAGCTCGGCTCATCTACACACACACAAAGACAAAGGTCCACCACGTAAACTTTAGCAAGATGTTGGTGAAAGTGCAGGAGGCGAGCACTGAGCCAGGATCTCTGAGATCCTGGGCTCCACAAACAGGAGGGTCCTGCCAAGATGTTGTGTCAGTTCTCAGCGTTGGGATATTTGGACAATATCTGATGTCACACTTGGATTTACAATGAGACACGTGTGGATTTATAGGACACACAGGTTAATGGCATCCTTCAAACTGATAAGAGAAGTGGGGCTGGGCCAGGACATGCCACGGCCAGGAGGAACAACGATGGCCGATGGTCAAGAAAAATAACGGAGCTGCAGCCAAGTATCGGAGCACGTTTGAGAGGACAGCTTCCAGAAAGATGGAGCGACAAAATCGGTGCTTGGTGGATTATGCCATTGCAGGATCGTGAGCGGTAGCAGGAATTCAGGGAAGGAGTCCTTCATCCAGTAGTGGATAGATAAAAGTACTGTAGATTATTCACATGTAGACAGGCAGGTACACAGACAGGATCTCAGGGGAGATACTCTGATAGATGCACACACTCAGGCAGGCAAGTAGATGTACACTGAGGTATATGGATAGGCGACAGGTCGCCACACGCAGAGTGGAGAGCACACGTCCATCAATACTTCACCACACGAGTCGAAGAGCCACACGTACCTCCATGGTAGCAACTTGCAGAGCAGGGTGCACAGAACTCACAGCGTCTCTCGCACAGTCCGGGTCTCTGCGTGCGGAGCAGGAGACGAAGGCGAGGATCACAAAGAGTCGAGGGGGCGTGAGGGCTCCCAGATCTCAACACGAGTCACAACGCGGGCTTACATCCGCACCATGAACCCACATCATCAACACAGACTCACATCATCACCACTTACAACACGTAATACAAAAACAACAACAACAACCGACATTCGCCACTAAGTAGGGGTGATGACACCACGGCGCCTGTGCCGGGCCAGGTGCACTTTTAGTCCACGTGAAGTGTCGAAGGCTGACAAGACGTCACGGGATAGACCCAGGTTCCAAAGGTTGGCTGAGATGACTGGTAGATACACCAGCTGTATCCCCAACTGTGCCAACTTGTTGAATTGTATCCGCTACTCGTTGTGAGCGTCACTCCTCTGTCCTCAGTTGTTGTTGGAAGGCGACTGCCTCCTACTGCCCGGTAGGATCCTTCACGAGCTTCCTCGTGAAGGATGCTATCCACACCACTGATACCAGTCTTCTGCAAGTCCACTCAGCTCCACATCCTCCCATACAGCATCAGTCCATATTTTGACAGCCCATGTCGTGCCCGTTTAGCCCCCTTTATGCAACCAAAATAAACTGCTTGGGTATGCCGGAGGAACTTACTGGTGGGAATGTCTCCAGATCTTTCAAGTATTTGTGAGCCCCTCACACAATCCAGCCTGGTTAAACCCAGGATGGATCGTACAATCAACAACACCACCAACAACACCACCATCAACACCACCAACACCAACAAGACTATCACCACCATCAATACCATAACCAAAAACATCACCAACACCACCCCCATCAATATCACCTCCATCAACACCACTAACACTACCACAACCAACACCACCACCAAGACCACCACCACCAACACGACCACCAACAACACCACAATCAACAACACCACCATCAACACCACCAACACCAACAATACCACCACCATCAACACCACCAACACCACCACCAACACAACAACCACCAACAACACCACCATCAACACCACCATCACTAACAATAAAACCACCATCAACATCACCACCACCAACACCACCACCAAGAACACCACCACCAACAACACCACCATCACAAACACCCCAACACGACCACCATAACCACCAACAACACCACCATCACAAACAACACCACCAAGACCACCACCATCAACACCACCAACACCAACAATACCACCACCATCAACACCAACAACACCACCACCACTAACAACAAAGATAAAGATCCCCCTTATAGCTGAAATAGACTGTTGGGGCAAGTGCTGTTAGCCAGCAACACCTATGAAGGGCAGAACGGCACACGAGGGGGTGGGTGGCCAGCACCACGCCCGGCCGCCTTTGTGTTTACACACACACAGACTCACACACACAGACTCACACACACAGACTCACACACAGACTCACACACACAGACTCACACACACACAGACTCACACACACACAGACTCACACACACACAGACTCACACACAGACTCACACACACACACAGACTCACACCATTTCTCACCTTCGCCAGATGCTCCCCCGACTCTCTAACGGACAAACTGCCTGAGGGAGACACGAGGGGGCGGTACCAAGTGACCACGCCCACTATGACGTCGCAGACCTAAGCCCCTCCCCCCCACCGGAGCCCCTCCCCCCCACCGGAGCTCCTCCCCCCACCAGAGCCCCTCCCCCCCATGCCCAACCCCTCGCCCCGCCCCTTCACCCCCCTCGCCCCGCCCCTCCCCCCGCTGCTACTTCCGCTGAGGCCGGGGCGAGTGGAGGCGGCGCTGTGCATTGTGGGTGGCGAGCGGACGGTTTGGATTCCCGCTCGCGGCCACCGCCGGCGGCTCGCTGGCTGGGCCTCCTCTAGGTCGACTCAGCCCGAACAAGGCGAGCACCTTGCACGCTGTGGACGCAGCAGCAGCAGCAGTGGCGGTGGTGGGGGGGGCAGAGGAGGCGCCTGCTGAGTTCACGGCCCTGCTGCTGCTGCTGATGATGAGGAGAGGCACTGCCAGATTGTGGCTGATGGGATGAGTTACATTTAGTTGTTTGTGTTTCTGGAGGGGCGGATTTGTTGTCGTGGCAGAAATGGCCTCCACTTAGAGGCCGCGATGTGGAGTGTTTGGTCTACTCTTCCACGCTGGGCGTGCCCGCACTTTACCCCGATACACATGCGGGGCGTGAGCTCACTAGGCTTGCAATGCAGAGGTGCAGGTTCGAGTCCATTTCACACTCAGCCACTCGGCCACTCACTCAGCCACTCACTCACCCACTCACTCACCCACTCAGCCACTTACTCACCCACAGAGGGATACAGACCATTTATGCAGTGGTATTGTAGTATCTGCGTCAATGTTTGTGTTGTTTGGTTATGGTGGTGGTTGTAGTGGTTATGGTGGTGGTTATGGTGGTAGTTATGGTGGTGGTGGTTGTGATGGTGGTGGTGGTTGTGATGATCATGGCTTTAGTTTTGGTTGTATAGGTGGTTGTAGTGGTGGTGGAGGTTACAGTTGTGGTATAGGTTGTTGGTTGTTATGGTAGTTGTGGCTCTGGTTGTGGTGCTTGTTGTGGTTTAGGTTGTGGTTATAATTGTGGTTGTATAGGTTGTGGTTATATGTGCGGTTGTGGTGTATGTGGTTATATTTGTTATAATTGTGTAGGTTGTGGTTGTAATAGTCATAGTTGTGGTGTAGGTGGTTATGATGGTTGTTATGGTAGTTGTATTATTTTGAACTTCAATTGCACCCTACCCAGCCGACCGTGCTAATTGGAGGTATGGTTATCGTTGTGGTTATTTTATGGTTGTTTTGGTTTTAGTTGTGGTGGTGATTGTGGTTGGTGCAGGTGCTGGGATGGAGGACGCGTTCCGTGTCCTCTGCCCATGCGGCTCCAACAACGATTGCTCCAACCAGCACTGCCGCCCCTGTGGTCACATGACATTGCCTCCCAGCATTCCTTGCAGTCATTGATTCTCGGCCATCTTTACCTCCTGCATCTCTATAGGAGCTCTCGCTTCCTCCACACACTCTCCTCCTACCTCGGCTCTCTCTCCCCATGTCTCCATCCCCCCTCTTCTTTCTGGAAGGTTCAGGGGTCAGGAGTTGACTGGCTGCACTCTGACCTTTGACCTTGGCTGTCACCCGAGTGGGATTATCTAACAGCAGTCAACCCATAGTATCAGGATCTGTCCCGTGACCTCCTATACCTAGCCTGGAAAAGCAGTCAACCTGTGGCACCCATATCTGTCCTGTGACCTGCTGCACCTAGTATGGCACAGCAGTCAACCCATGGCACCTGGGTCTGTCCCGTGTCCTCCTGCACCTAGTATGGCCCAGCAGTCAACCCATGGCACCTGGTTTGTTGTGATGACATTACCGCCACGTAGTGGCGAATGGCGGCCATTGTCGTTGTGAGTTTGTGTGCTTGTGTGTAAGTAATGGTGATTGAGTGTGTGACTATCATGTCGTGTCTGTTTGAGTTGGATGGTAGGGGTGTGTTTATGAGGGTGAGTGTGTGTGGATGTTTGAGTATCATGGTGAGTATGTGAGTGATGGTATGTGACAGTGTGAGTTTGATGGTGATTGTATCATGGTGAGTGCAAGCAATACCGAGCTTGACTTATTTCTCTCCCCTCCCTTTACCCACTCTTCCCCCCTATCCCTGTCTCCCCCCACTCTCCCCCCACTCTCCCCCACCCACTCTACCTCCCTCACCTTCCCTGCCTCTCTATCTCTCTCCTTTCTCCCGTAACTACCTCGCCTGTTATACAGGAGGTCGTGGGTTCGATCCCTACCCTCACATCTGCTATATATTTAGAGTTTGCGTGTCTCCCTCTCTCCCCGTGGTCGCGTTCAGAGTGTTTGGTTTCTATAAATGTCGACGTGATGATAGGCCACTTCGTTGACCTATCATTTGTGGCATTTTCCCTTTTGAAGAAGAGCTGTGTAGCTCGTTGGGCATTACCTGGAAAAATTTAAATAGTTTAGTTTCCTCTTTTCCTCCTCCCTTCCTCCCTCTCCACACCCATCCCCCCCAGCACAACAACAAGAAGCAGGAGGAGGATGGTTTGTCTCCCAAGCCGAGCGCTTCCGGGTCCACCTTCATGATCCTCCCTCTGCCCCGGCGGGGGGGGGGGGGAGATCCCCTCGCACAGGGTTATGGTAACCCACCCACATACACACGGGGTTACGGTGCCCCCGCTACACATACGCACAGGGGTACTGTACCCCCCACTCACATGCCAGTCTATGTGCACCACACAGAGACCCAAAGACTCGCACATAGATCCATAGACTCACACAGACCCATTGACTCGCACAGAAATCAATTAACTCAAACAAAGACCCGTCGAAACACGGACAATATACTTACACAAAGACACAGACTCATCCACTCGTGCACCCACCCACTCAACGACTCACAGGCTTACTCGCTCACCAAATCCCTCACCTACTCACTCAGCCGCTCACTCAGAAACTCACTCAAGAACTCGCTCACCCATTTACCCACCCACTTGCTCATCCACTCGTGCATCCACTCACAGAATCACTCATAAACTCACCCACTCACACGCTCAGAAACTGACTCACAAAATAATTCACCCACTCACTCGTGCACTCACTCGCCCACTTACCCATGCGCGCACAGATTCACCCACTTACTCGCTCACAGACTCCCTCTCTGATAGACTCGCTCATAGACTCACTCGGTCAGACTCAATCACTTACAGACTCACTCAGAAGCTCTCACCCACAAACTTATTCAGAAACTCACTCCACCACCGACCCACTTACTTTAAAACTACCTCACTTATCCGCACCCACTCACTGACCTACTTACTCATCCACTCGTTCAGCCACTCACTGACCAACTCACTCACTCACAGACTCAGTCGCTCACTCATCCACTCACACCTAAACTCATTCATCCACCCACCGACTCACTCGCAACCATTAACTCATCCACTCAATAATTTCATCCATTCACTCATCCACTCACTCAACCACTCACTCATTCAACAACCCACTCACCCACTCACTTGGAGACTCTCTCTCACCCACCCACTCACTCACCTCGCCCAGTCTATTAGCCACTCATTCAGAAACTCACTCACCTACTCACTCACCCACACAATCGATCAATCACTCATATACTAAATCACCCACCCACTCACTCACCCACTCACTCATCCACTATTCCACTCACTTAAGAACCCACTTCCTCAATCACCAACTCAGAATATCACTCCTCCACTCGCTCACCCATTTACTCACCCACTCGCTCACCCACTCATTCAACAACTTTCTCACTCGTGGGCTCACTTGCTTATCCACTCACTCATCCATTCACTCATCCAATCTCTCACCCACTCGCTCACCCACTCGCTCATCCACTCACTCATCCACTCACTCACAGACTGACTCAGAAACTCACTCACCCAAGCATTCACCCACTGACTCACTCACCCATTCACTCACCCATTCACTCACCCATTCACTCACCCATTCACTCAACCATTCACTCACAGACTCACTCAGACTCACTCGCTCCCAGACTCACTCACTCACAGACGCACAAAGAAACTCACTCACCCACTAACCTATTCAGAAACTCAGTCAACCACCAAACCACCTACTCAAAAACTCCTTTACTCATCCGCACTCACTCACTAACCTATCTACTCATTTACTCAATCAGCCACGTTTACTCACTAACTCGCTCACTCATGCACTCAGAAAATCACTCATCCACTCACTTAGAAACTCCTACAACCACTGACCCACTCGCTCAAAAACTCCCTCATCTACTATCTCGCTCACTTTCTTACTCACCCACTCCCTCACCAATTCACTCGTTTCCCCACTCATTCCTTCAGTCACTGACATTGAGCAACTCGGTCAATCATTATCTAATTCAATCACCCATTCACTCGGAGACTCACTCGCTCACTCATCCTCCACTCACTCACCCACTAACCCACTCAGAAACTCACTCAGCTACTCACCACTCATTCACCCACTCATCCACTCATTGAATAAATCACCTACTCGCCCACTTTCTCAGCCACTCGATCAGAAACTCATTCACCTACTCACCCACACACTCACCCACTTACACTCGGGAGTGGGTGGTTTTAGAGTTCAGTGTTAATCATTGGGACTCCCATAGGGTTCAGTGTTGCTCACTGGGTCTCCCATAGAGTTCAGTGTGACTCACTTGGGCTCCCATCGGGTTCGTGTTAATCACTGGGTCTCCCATAGGGTTCAGGGTTAATCACTGAGGCTCCCATCGGGTTCAGTGTTAATCACTGGGGCACCCATAGGGTTCAATGTTAATAAATGGGGCTCCCATAGGGTTCGGTGTTAATCACTGGGCCACCCATAGGGTTCGGTGTAATCACTGGGGCTCCCATAGGGTTGAGTTAATCACTGGGTCTCCCATAGTGTTCAGTGTTAATCACTGGGGCTTCCATAGAGTTATGTGTTAATCATTGGGGCTCCCTTAGGGTTAATGTTAATAACTGGGACTTCCATAGGGTTCAGTGTTAATCACTGGGGCTCCCATGGGGTTGAGTGTTAATCACTTGGTCTCCCATAGGGTTGAGTGTTAATCACTTATAGATTTGAAGCTTTCGTGACTGCAAGGATTCATACTCTTAGTTCTTTCGGTAAAGTCATGTAGGTAAAAAATGAAATTAAAATTTTTACCTACGTGACTTTACCAAAAGTACTAAGAGTATGTTAATCACTGGGGCTCCCTTGGGGTTAAAGTTAATCACTGGGTCTCCCATAGGGTTCTGTTGTATATGTTGGGTTAAGAAAATTTGTTATGTTGTATGCGTGCGTGGGTGAAATTATTATGTTGTACCTGTGTGTTATGAATATTCAGTGAAAATAATAATTATTAAATGAAATCTGGCCAAATGTGTAATTATCCGGAAATATGTTAATTTATGTAATTACGCACATTTTAATTATGCCAATTCGAGAGGTAATCGGATTAATTATGCGAGTGGGTGTAATTATGATAATACAAGTCGTTATGATAACCAGACCCCGCCTTGGTGACGAGGGTGGGTTATCGATCGGAATAAGGCAATTAATCGTATGCAGTTATGCAGGTGTGGTGTAAGTATGCAAGATTAACTTAGATTAACTCGGCATCGTTGTCTAGGTTCGTCTCATTCTCGCTTTAACATTCCCAGAGTTTTTATTCGTGGTTATATTTTTAGGTCCCCGGTTCACCCCGTTATCGCTTTAACATTTACTGAGTATGTATTAGTGTGTTTATTAAGGTCACCAAGTTCAAATCTCAACGCAGAAGCAGATCTTATGCATAGATTTCAGGAAAGAATCACACAACCACTTCTGTATTAATCAATTTATTACTAATTCAACCTTAACTATGATATAATATGCGAACTCTCAATCCCGGAACGTCAACACGGCATCAATACAGTATCATCAACGATTGTCTGATTTCACTTTGACAACTGCACATGGATCCCGCATAACGCGATGGTTGTTAGTGAGAGAGAGTCGTTAAAACACGCAAATACTATGCTAAGAAAACCTTAATGTTAATGAATGATTATACTCAATATTGTTCATAACGCGATGGTTGTTAGTGAGAGAGAGAGTCGTTGAAATATGCAAATACTATGCTAAGAAAACCTTAATGTTAATGAATGATTATACTCAATATTGTTCATAACGCGATGGTTGTTAGTGAGAGAGAGAGTCGTTGAAATATGCAAATACTATGCTAAGAAAACCTTAACGCTAATGAATGATTATACTCAATATTGTTCACGCAGTACCACACTCCTTATTGACCATACGCAACCCTTATCACGTTGTTAACACCTTGGGTCACGGGACAGTTGAATATTCTGTAGAGGATGCGAGTACGTGCGGCGATTATGACTGAAAGATACTTGAAAGATTATACGGCGATAAAAAAAACACAATCAAAAACAGTTATTATTCTTAAAGGCACCAATCTCAACAGATACATCGGCAGGTTATCTGACAACAGAACGGCTCGGAGTAAGGGCTTGCGACGGTGCTCCTTTTCCGAAGCTCGTTATCTTATACCAAGTTTACTAATTGGGGACCAGATCACCTGATAAGGATCCGGTGGGCCACCACTCCCCACGTGAGCGTGGCTCGGCGGAAGGAGGTGCCAAGAATCAGTTCGTATTGATGGATCTGTTGGGAATTTATGCGATTAAGAGTACAGCCCACTAAATATTAAAGATAAAAATTAAGAATACTCTTATAAACGACGGAGGGCCATCACTCGGTCTCGTTGTGATGCTTTCCAGCCACGGATGGCTTATGGGTTCGAGTGTTTTTGAGTGGTAAGAGTTGTCTTGAATAGTCAGTGTTCGGAGTCGATTCTTTAGGTCAAACAGACGCCTGGTGGTCGTGTGGTGAGGGGGCGGTGCGCGTCATACGTATCAGTCGATCCCCTGTCACCGTGGCGAACTGGTTCGGATGGCTGTTGATACGCTGTCGCAGTTCGGAACCCGGTCGGTAGGTGGCGCCCACAACTCGCTCGTAGCGTGCAGCTCTGGGTTGTCGCCGAACCGCGATGCTCACCACTCCGGTGGCAGCAGAGACCCCCGATTCGGCAGAGGTTGACGAGCTGAAGATGAGTCGAGCCGACCCGCTGGTCGCAGCTCGCTCCTGAGTCGACCCTCCCGGTCGAGCTCGCTCCTGGGTCGACCCGCTGGTCGCCCTCGCTCCTGAGTCGACCCTCTGGTCGCACTCCTGAGTGGACCCGCTGGTCGCACTCCTGAGTGGACCCACTCTGGTCGCACTCGTTCCTGAGTCGACCCTCCCGTCGCACTGATTTCCAATGCTCAGGATCCTTTACTTTATGCCGAAAAATCCCCCTGGATCCCGCCCACAAGGCGGGGCTTCTTTCCGATTTTTGCTGTGTCAGGATCTGTCCGTAGGCAGGTGTGTCCATGTGTGTGTCCGTACGTACGTATGTCCTTGTGTGCATTACTCACGGTATTCCGTTGTCCCACTCCCTCCATGAACCCACGAGCAAACAATCAGATGTTACAAATTGCCTCGAGGTCGTCTCTCTGTCTGGCCTTCTTCATGAACCCAAAACACAGACGTTACAAATGTCTCATAGGCGTCTTTGTTCGCACCACCTGGAGGGAGGGGCAACGCTCTCTCCGACCCGGCGCACAAAGAAATGGTTAAAAGTTTTAAGTTAACATTTGTCCCTTACTATTTCACAGTTATGATTCTGTATGTAACCTAAGGTCTGTCGTTTCCCATCGTGGTGCTTGACTCAAGTGGAGGTGTTTCCCCGAGCGTATACACACTCCTATCCCGCGCTGCGGGGATACAAAGACGGCCGGGATCTCCCTTCCTCTCCGACCCTGGGTTTAACATCGTTTTTTTTTAATTATGTATTATATTCGACCTGGTGGTGATTCATCCCGTTATCCTGGCTTTTCATAAGTTTTACTTTAGTTTACGGTGAATAGCGTTAACATTGATGTTATGTAGATATTATGTATTGTGATGTCTTTTACTTAACTTGTTTGTCAGAGCTTTACTGACACGAAGTTGCATTTCATAGCTCCGCAGTCTTTGCCCCACCCTATCTCTGCTCGCCGTTGTTGTTGCCGTCCAGCTGGCCGTTGTTCAAGGCCTCATTAATTTCCGTCACTCCTGAGGTGAGGGCGGTTGAGCCTTGGAGTCAGTTCTGGTTTTTGTCTGCCGCCGTGCTCTTAATTTCCTTCCCTCTTCAACCTTATATATGATATATTCGCTCCTGTCTGGGTGCGATTCAATTTTGACTTAGGAAGGTTCTGATTGTCATATGCTTCGGGTCGAGTTGCATAGAAAGTATTAAAGTATGGAAATAACATTTCATTTGACTTAATGATGGTGATGGTTCAGTAGGCGTAACTTGTGGCCTGGTTTAATTGGAGTGGGTGTGAATATCAATAACTTTAGCCTACCCTGTTGTTAAATTCCGACTTTAACGTTACTTTAATAGCAATACAGAATAATTGAGCTTTTTGTCTTAACTAGGCGAATGCGAACTTCTGGTGACCCCCGCAGGCTTGTTATTCAGCTGGGTCTTGCCCGCCTTGAGAGATATACAACACTCTTTTAAATCAGCTCCCTGTGGCCCTCCAACCTTCTGCTCTGGGAATGTTATTCTTAATTTCAGGTCCAAGGCCTTTTTGGGTTTATCTTTGTTTCCTCAGCTGCAGGAGAACAAGGCGTGCTTCTACCTCCATTTCTGTGTGCACGTGTTCTAATTAGCTCGGAATCCCTAACACACAATCAGTGATGATTCCTGGCTTTCTGTGGTTATGACTTAGACAACGGCGCCTCTGCTTCCTTTCACTGCCTTTGCCTTGAAGCAAGGTTGCAATTCTGTCATCCTAGCCCTCCTCTCGTTCATTACTTAACAACACCTGGTGTTTTGCAGTTTGGTGCGCTTTGGTGTGTTTCACTCATTAAAAAAAACAAGTAAAAAGATAATATATAAAAATCATCAAATATTATTAATCTCAATTATGGAAGAAGGGTTAGGATACAACAGTTCAGTGTTAATCACTGGGGCTCCCATAGAGTTCTGTGTTAATCACTGGGTCTCCCATAGGGTTCAGTGTTAAACACTGGGTCTCCCATAGAGTTCTGTGTTAATCACTGGGGCTCCCATAGGGTTCAGTGTTAATTACTGGGGCTCCCTTAGGGTTCGTTGTTAATTCTAGATTTGAAGTTTTCGTGACTGCAAGGGTCCATACTCTTTAGTTTTTTCGGTAAAGTCACGTAGGTTACAAAATAAAATAAAAATAAATTAAATCACGACGTTTCGGAGGCAACACAAGCTTCCGTCTTCAGGTGGCACCGTCACAGCAGTAATTTTGCTGTGACGGTGCCACCTGAAGACGGAAGCTTGTGTTGCCTCCGAAACGTCGTGATTTCGTTGTTAATCACTGGGGCTCCCATAGGGTTGAGTGTTACTCACTGGGGCTCCAATAGAGTTCAGTGTTAATCACTGGGTCTCCCATAGGTTTCAGTGTTAATCATTGGGTCTCCCATAGGGTTCTGTGTTAATCACAGACCCATAGATTCCTAAAACCCTAACCCTATAAACACATAGGGCTTTATACCCCTAACCCTCAAAAGCCCTGTACTCCGAAAACTATAACCCTCTAATCCCCTTCACCCTTAACACCCTCACCTTTTTAATCCCCTTAAACCCCTCACCCTCTAAACCCCTCACCCACTAAACCCCTATGCCTCTAAATCCAACCCCCTAACCCTTTGAACCCCTAACTTTCTCCAATCCCATTATAAAGGTTTTTTTTTGCGGTAAGATCGTGTAAATATAAATGTGTCTTAAAACCCGTCACCACCCGATACAGCCAATTAATAAAGTTTGTCACGTGAATAAAGAGTGCCAATTAGTTTCTACTTTAGCACATCGGTGTGTTGGAGACTAACCCAAATAAACCTTTATTATGAATAACCCCTCAACCCCATAACTCCCCCTGCGCCACCCCCCATGTCCTCCCTCACCCCCCTCACCCCCCCCAGCTGCTACTTCCGTTGAGGCCGGGGCGAGTGGAGGCGGCGCTGTGCATTGTGGGTGGCGAGAGGCTGATTTGGATTCCCGCTCACGGCCACCGTCGGTGGCTCGTGGCGGCTCGCTGGCTGGGCCTCCTCTACGTCGACTCAGCCAGAAGAAGGTGAGAACCAAGCTCGGTGTGGACACATCAGCAGTGGCGGTGGTGGGGGGGAGACAAAGGAGGCACCTGGCCCACAGGTGCCTCCTTTGTCTCCCTCCTCTCTCTCCCCGTGTCTCCCTCCTCTCTCTCCCCGTGTCTCCCTCCTCTCTCTCTCCCGTGTCTCACTCCTATCTTTCCCCGTGTCTCCCTCCTCTATCTCCCCGTGGCTCTCTCCTCTCCCCGTGTCTCACTCCTCTCTCTCCCCGTGTCTCACTCCTCACTCTCCCCGTGTCTCACTCCTCTCTATCCCCGTGTCTCCCTCCTCTCTCTCCCCGTGTCTCCCTCCTCTCTCTCCCCGTGTCTCCCTCCTCTCTCTCCCCGTGTCTCCCTCCTCTCTCTCCCCGTGTCTCCCTCCTCTTTCTCCCCGTGTCTCCATCCTCTCTCTCCCCATGTCTCCATGTCCCCTTCTCTCTAGGTGGTGCAGGTTCAGGAGTTTACTGGCTGCACTCCGACCTTTGGCCTTGGCTGTCGCCCAAGTGGGATTGTCGCACAGCAGTCAACCCATAGCATCAGTATCTGTCCCATGATCTCCTCCTGCACCTAGCCTGGCACAGCAGTCAACCCATGACACCTGACTCTATCCCGTGACCTCCTCCTGCACCTAGCCTGGCACAGCAGTCAACCCATGGCACCTGGGTTGTTGTGATATCACCATCATGTAGTTGCAAATTACGGCTGTTGTCGTTGTGAGTTTGTAGGTTTTTGTGTGAGTAATGGTGCGTGTGTGACTTTCATGACGTGTGTGAGAGTAGGTTGGTAGGGGTGTGTATCATGGTGAGTGTGTGGGTGTGCGAGTATTATGGTGAGTGTGTGGTTGTGTTAGATGGCTGGCAATGTTGATGGGTGGTGATGATGCAAGGCTTGTGCTCGAGAATGGCACACTGAAACTAATAGTGGAGCAGATTGACAGTGGAGCAGAGCGCAGTGGAGACGTGGGGCAATAGAGCAGAGGAGCAATGGAGCAATGAGGCAGTGGAGCAAAGGAGCAGTGGGGCATTGGAGCAGTGGATCAGTGGGGCAGATTAGGGGTTGATTTGTCGTGAAGAAGGCGAATCACCTGAATATGTGCTCTGAAGAAGAACCATTTCCCAAAACGTTTCTTTTTATCTATTTGTCCTCGTCCCGCCGCACACACAGCCGGGACACCGCACACACAGCCGGGACACCGCACACACGAGCCAAGGCACATTAAACCAACCCAGGCAGCACTCGCAAGCAATGCAACGTTACGTTGTGTCCTCATGAGTTCAATTTCACAAAGTTTATAGTAACAACAACAACAAAAATATTGATCCTAATTCTTAACCGGGTGGCCTTAAGACTTAGCACGTGCAGGTGTTGTTCATTGTCTGCACCAGACCCCTCCAGCAGTCTCATTCTGGGTCAGCTGCCCCTTACATGTCCTGGAAACCATGGCATGAGGAGCACCTGGATGAAAACCAGCATGGAAGGGGCCCAGTGTGGGGCTGGCTATGCTAATGGAATAGCCCCATGTGTGTGTGTGGTTTTAGAGTTCAGGAGGTGCCAAGAATCAGTTCGTATTGATGGATCTGTTGGGAATTTATGCGATTAAGAGTACAGCCCACTAAATATTAAAGATAAAAATTAAGAATACTCTTATAAACGACGGAGGGCCATCACTCGGTCTCGTTGTGATGCTTTCCAGCCACGGATGGCTTATGGGTTCGAGTGTTTTTGAGTGGTAAGAGTTGTCTTGAATAGTCAGTGTTCGGAGTCGATTCTTTAGGTCAAACAGACGCCTGGTGGTCGTGTGGTGAGGGGGCGGTGCGCGTCATACGTATCAGTCGATCCCCTGTCACCGTGGCGAACTGGTTCGGATGGCTGTTGATACGCTGTCGCAGTTCGGAACCCGGTCGGTAGGTGGCGCCCACAACTCGCTCGTAGCGTGCAGCTCTGGGTTGTCGCCGAACCGCGATGCTCACCAGTCCGGTGGCAGCAGAGACCCCCGATTCGGCAGAGGTTGACGAGCTGAAGATGAGTCGAGCCGACCCGCTGGTCGCAGCTCGCTCCTGAGTCGACCCTCCCGGTCGAGCTCGCTCCTGGGTCGACCCGCTGGTCGCCCTCGCTCCTGAGTCGACCCTCTGGTCGCACTCCTGAGTGGACCCGCTGGTCGCACTCCTGAGTGGACCCACTCTGGTCGCACTCGTTCCTGAGTCGACCCTCCCGTCGCACTGATTTCCAATGCTCAGGATCCTTTACTTTATGCCGAAAAATCCCCCTGGATCCCGCCCACAAGGCGGGGCTTCTTTCCGATTTTTGCTGTGTCAGGATCTGTCCGTAGGCAGGTGTGTCCATGTGTGTGTCCGTACGTCCGTATGTCCTTGTGTGCATTACTCACGGTATTCCGTTGTCCCACTCCCTCCATGAACCCACGAGCAAACAATCAGATGTTACAAATTGCCTCGAGGTCATCTCTCTGTCTGGCCTTCTTCATGAACCCAAAACACAGACGTTACAAATGTCTCATAGGCGTCTTTGTTCGCACCACCTGGAGGGAGGGGCAACGCTCTCTCCGACCCGGCGCACAAAGAAATGGTTAAAAGTTTTAAGTTAACATTTGTCCCTTACTATTTCACAGTTATGATTCTGTATGTAACCTAAGGTCTGTCGTTTCCCATCGTGGTGCTTGACTCAAGTGGAGGTGTTTCCCCGAGCGTATACACACTCCTATCCCGCGCTGCGGGGATACAAAGACGGCCGGGATCTCCCTTCCTCTCCGACCCTGGGTTTAACATCGTTTTTTTTTATTATGTATTATATTCGACCTGGTGGTGATTCATCCCGTTATCCTGGCTTTTCATAAGTTTTACTTTAGTTTACGGTGAATAGCGTTAACATTAATGTTATGTAGATATTATGTATTGTGATGTCTTTAACTTAACTTGTTTGTCAGAGCTTTACTGACACGAAGTTGCATTTCATAGCCCCGCAGTCTTTGCCCCACCCTATCTCTGCTCGCCGTTGTTGTTGCCGTCCAGCTGGCCGTTGTTCAAGGCCTCATTAATTTCCGTCACTCCTGAGGTGAGGGCGGTTGAGCCTTGGAGTCAGTTCTGGTTTTTGTCTGCCGCCGTGCTCTTAATTTCCTTCCCTCTTCAACCTTATATATGATATATTCGCTCCTGTCTGGGTGCGATTCAATTTTGACTTAGGAAGGTTCTGATTGTCATATGCTTCGGGTCGAGTTGCATAGAAAGTATTAAAGTATGGAAATAACATTTCATTTGACTTAATGATGGTGATGGTTCAGTAGGCGTAACTTGTGGCCTGGTTTAATTGGAGTGGGTGTGAATATCAATAACTTTAGCCTACCCTGTTGTTAAATTCCGACTTTAACGTTACTTTAATAGCAATACAGAATAATTGAGCTTTTTGTCTTAACTAGGCGAATGCGAACTTCTGGTGACCCCCGCAGGCTTGTTATTCAGCTGGGTCTTGCCCGCCTTGAGAGATATACAACACTCTTTTAAATCAGCTCCCTGTGGCCCTCCAACCTTCTGCTCTGGGAATGTTATTCTTAATTTCAGGTCCAAGGCCTTTTTGGGTTTATCTTTGTTTCCTCAGCTGCAGGAGAACAAGGCGTGCTTCTACCTCCCTTTCTGTGTGCACGTGTTCTAATTAGCTCGGAATCCCTAACACACAATCAGTGATGATTCCTGGCTTTCTGTGGTTATGACTTAGACAAAGGCGCCTCTGCTTCCTTTCACTGCCTTTGCCTTGAAGCAAGGTTGCAATTCTGTCATCCTAGCCCTCCTCTCGTTCATTAATTAACAACACCTGGTGTTTTGCAGTTTGGTGCGCTTTGGTGTGTTTCACTCATTAAAAAAAACAAGTAAAAAGATAATATATAAAAATCATCAAATATTATTAATCTCAATTATGGAAGAAGGGTTAGGATACAACATTCCGCCCTTTTAAAAATGACCAGTGGTCAAATGGCCACGGGTTATTTTTAAAAAAATGTATACCCTTCTTCCATCATGAACCATCGATTGTCCTCAAGTTTTGCTGCTATTCCTTACAACGCGCGCGTACGTGTCACAACTTAACAGGTTATATGTGACAAGAGAGAGAAAAAATATTCTAAAGGAAGGTAAGACGATAAGGGAGGGAAAAATTATTCTATTGACTACGTGTTATAGGAGATATCGTTAAAAGATAATTTCTACAGTTACTCTTGGGTGGCATCATCAGGCCTTGGCTCTATCCCTGTTCCTGGGCTTGAATGGTAGGTGGCTTGTGCCTGCGATTAGTCTTTTAAGTTCGGCATTCATTTTGGCCACATGGTATGTTAAGGTTAGAATAGCCAGGACTAGTATGATCATCCCTGTTGCCCCTGTGATTCCCATCCCCATCTGTTGATTTCGCTGATATCCAGCCTCTTCGGTCGCCCAAGTAAGATCTGTTATGTTAATCTCTGATTCGCTGAGGGATAATTTCACCATATGGAACTCTTTACTGTTCGACAAGTTGGACAGAGTGCTGCTTATCTCAAACTTGTGGCCTCGGAATGTGTCTACTATTTCTACCTCCGCTTGGTGTAGGCTTTTGTCTAGGTTATATAATACCTTGTCTCCTATGCGTACGAATGTTCCTCTTGGTATTGTGACCAGTGCGGCGTGGCTTGGAATCGGAACTTCCATGGTTATGGAGTGTTGATCGGTGGAAACAATTGCCGTGTCTAGAGGGGTGCTAATCAACCACTGGGCATTAGCTATCATGGCCACTGTTCCGGTTCTTTCTTTGGGTTTACTTAGCTTAAACTTGCAAGTTTCCTTGGAGCTTAGGTTTGACGGACCACACATTATTTCTGCTGGATCTTGGATATGATCGGCGAGTGTCTTTAGTGTTTCGTCCTCTTGTTGCATTCTGATCAGGTCTTCGGATGGCTGGGCACTGTTCAATTGGGCTCTGGTTCCAGCTTCTGCCGGGTTCTTCCCACTTCTTGTGACCAGTCTTATCACGGCGATGTCTTGGTTCGTCGACTCTTGTTGTCCGTCTCTGTCGGTTTGGTCTTCTAGCTTCCACGGGGTGCCTTCCAGGCTTCCCACTTTTGCTATGGCATCTGCTTGGTCGTTCCCAGTTTTCTCTTGACCAGGTATCTTGGAGTGCCCTTTGACTTTCTTCCAAAATATCTTCATATCCTTGTTCTGAACCATCTTATCTATGGCCTCGAATAGTTCTCGATGGCGAATTGGTTTATTCCTATGGTTCTTCATCTCGTTTTTTTTCCATATGGGTAGGTGGTGCAGGAAGCTGTGCTGTACGTAGTTGGAATCAGTGCATACCACCATGGTCCGTATTTGGTTATCGGATGCCATCTGGACAGCGATGTGTACCCCGACCAACTCTGCATACTGGTTTGACTTTGGTCCCAGCTGAAATCCCTCTTGAATCCCTGTGAGTGGGCCAGTTTCCCAAATGACTCCTGACCCAGCGTGAAGCTTGTTCTCCTTCATCTTGGAGCATCCATCGATGTATACCACTGGTAGGTCGGCACATGTCTCCTTCCTGAAGGGCAGGTACCTGTTGTCCTCCGGAGGTATCTTTCCGTCCTCTGCTTCTATGCTGTCAAGGGTACAATCATGTAAATCGGCAAGACCTTGGGCCATTGGACTTTCCTTGTTTTTTGCGTATTTCACTGTGATTGGTAGGCCTTGGAGTGTCAGTGCCCAGCTGGCTATTCGGCTGCTGGTTACGCGGCCCTCTCGAATCTTCTTACTGTTGAGGTATGCCAAGGATTCATGATTCGTTTCCAGGATGATCTTCTCTCCGTTCAACAAGTTCCGAAAATGTTGTATGGCCCAGATGTTTCCAAATATCGCCTTCTCACACTCGGAGAACTTCATCTCCACTCCCCGGAGGGCTTTGCTGGCATAGGCAATAACTCGTTTCTCTGCTTCCTGTCTCTGGTACAGTACCGAGCTGATACTATGATCTGAGTATGCGGTCTCCAGGTAGTATTCTTTCCCTTTCTCTGGGTATGCTAGGCAGGATGCCTCTGTGATCTGTCGTTTTAATTCTTTTTCTGCGGCTTCCTGTTCCTGTCCCCACTCCCATGGTTCGTCTTTTTGCAGTAGTTTAACTAAGGGTCGAACGATTCCTGCGTAGTCGTCCACGAACTGTCGAAGGTAGTTGCAAATCCCTAAGAAGCTCCGAAGGGTCGTGACTGTGGTGGGCGATTTGAGTGCGAGGAGGGCTTCAAGTCTTTTGGTTTGGGGTAACATTCCCTCAGTGCCGACCTGGAGCCCGAGGTAGTCCACCCTTTTGCGTGCCCACTGTCCTTTTTGTATTGAAATCTTTGCGCCTGCTTCCTTTAACTGCTCGAGGGTGTGCTGGAGGCT